GCATCACTTTCTGAGTTCCCAAACTGCAGAGCGGGACGGGAGTCATAATCACAAAATGTGTGTGTGTTAAAAGGAATTTGTGTTAACTCATTATTATTGTGTTAACTTTGACAGCCCTAGTTTATATATTAATAATGTGTTTTACTAATTTTGTTTAGTAAGAAATCCTAATTACTGTGTTTCCTGGCAATACGTTTTCTGGTGTAGAAAGTGTTGCATTAGTCATTTGAGGTGGAAGGTGAATATTGGACGTTTCTGCTTTGTCCCTTTGTGATTTGTCTTAAAGTTGCTTCATGACTGTTTTTGGCCAGCAAGTTTAGCTCTAATAACAAAACTCTGACCTTTAAATATTGGCATAAGTAAAGTCTTTTTAACATGTGTAGCAAATTTGGAATTAACTCTAAAGGGTCTGTAATTATTATATGGAATATTGAATTTGTAACAACCATTTTCAAAACTACACGGCTATTATTAAAATGTTCCTGAATGTGATTGAGTTACACAGGACGAGACCAATCTGGTGTGTTGCCACAACAAGGACACAACAGACCAGTTGCACCTGAGCAAGTGCTTTTCAAACAGCACAGTAATCAGATAAACATTAGCTTGACAGGTTTTGGCTTTGAACACTCACTTAGTACATCTCACCTCCAACATGAAGATAATAACCTAAAATCAAAGTCCTCTTCAAATGATGTGGGTGAGTCTGGGTCACGCTCTTGGTGGGCTTCTTTTGATTCTAAAGCATCACCTTTTCAGTGCTGTTTTCAAGCTGATTTTTAATTTTCTTTGTGACATTAATGAGATCTATAAGCTGCTATTCATCAAGGGCTGAAGACATGTTTAAATACAGCAGGACAGCTAGGTGTTTTTAATAATTGTCAAATTATCATACATTTTGTTTGAATGAGTCAAACTTTCTAGCCAGTTTGTCTCACACAGCAATTTTATGCCACATTACAAACAACCAACCCCTTAATTTGATAATCATGGCCATCTAAGAAAGCAATTGTTCAGTTCAGGGAGGAAAAGAATTTTTAAAGAGCTGACAAAAAACACTTACATCATTTTGCTTCCCCAACTTTTACCACAAGTCCACCCAGTTCTTAAGGCTTATTATGTCATTAAGGCGCTCATAGTGTTCAGCAATAGTCTGAGAACAGAAACGAGACTTTTTTGATTACCTCGGCTTGTCCAAGGGAGTAGACATTTATCTGTCAAACACGGGCCAGAAACTTAGAACACATGGGGTCTGTCGGCTGATTGTTATTCAATTGTAACACTGTGACATATTTTGGCAGTTTCTCTGAACTGAGCAATAGCCAAAGAATTCATCCAAGCAAGAAACGTTTAGTGATGTCTTCAAAATGTATGTTAAAAGTTTTTAAAGTGCTTAAAGTTTTTGCATGTGTTAGCAACTAGCAAATAGAGAACCCATACTTTTGTCTGTGTTTTTGGATGATTCCAGACTCCCCGCTGAACTCTGATGGAGCAAATCATCATTAATGCCAAACAGGCGGCTGAAGTTAATGGAAACACTAATATTTTCTGCATGTACCACGGTGCTCAGAGATGATTTGTGGAAGAGTGACACTTTAATTTTCACCCTTCACTCCCATGGCCTCGCTCCCCAACAGCGCCTGCACCCAAATTCTCTGGCCTCTTCCCTTCAAGGCAAAACCTAAATGGCTCTTAATGACTCCGTGCAAACAATGTGTGGCGGGGGACAAATTACTAAAACACTTCCCGCTTTTTTGCCTCCTCCTTCTGCTTCAGGTGATACTTGAAAGGTCTCTGAGGTAGCTGGTTATCTGCTCCCTCCCTCCTCTGGCTCCTCTCTCTGTCACCCTCCACAATGTCAAGGTGCCACGACCCCGTTACGACCTGAACCCAAGTTAACCGCTGGGCTTCAGTAGGCTGCAGAAGGGCATTCTCTGCATTGCGGAAAGGGATGTGTGCGTGGTTTTGGAAAGGTGGTGTTGGGGTCAGCATGCACTAATGGGGTGAGGCTGATTTCAGTGAGATGAGAGGAAGAGGACCATCCTGCTTAGTTCGCACACACTTGTCGGCCTGTGACTTCTAGTTAAAAAAAGGCTTCTGGGTGGCTTATATGAGTCAGTGGTCACCTCTTGGCATCAATCGCCTCACCTTGGGAATTGAATGGGACACATGTGCACCCCCCCCGACACACAACGCAACTATCCCCCTCTCTTCCTCTCAACCCTGGTGCCCCTCCTTTCCTTTAAGTCAATATGTCCATGTCAGAGATGAAAGTGCAAAGTAGGAGGGATGCGGAGGGGGTCCTGACACGAATGTAGTACATTGGGCTTCACTTACTGATCTGCCAAGTTCTTTTGTCAAGTCTTAAAGGCCTGCTAGGGTCCTTTGAACTGCAGAGTTCTTGCCCGCCTTCAGATGCCTCCTCCTTTAGCTTCAGTGAGATATCCTCGGTGACATTCCCACAGTCCCGTCGCCACGGACAGCCACGCATAGCTGCATGGATGCAGAGGTTCAAATTCAAAGGCATGAAAGGAAGCCATTTAATTAACATCATTGCCACTTTGCAGCTCTCGATTTAAAAATTAAATTTGTTTTCATCAACACTGAAATAAAATTGGCACATGTGGCTTCAGAGAATCACTTCAGGCTCTGTTTGAATCTGTGGTTTGCAAACACTTTCATTGGCTGCCAAGCACAGCAAGCCAGGTAAACTAAGACCTTTAACTTGCTTGCTTGTTTTTCTCACTCTTGTCAGCTAATCTCTGTGGGTAACCTTATCCCAACTCTTGAGTAGCTCTCCCCCCCCACTCCCCCTCTGAGCCTCAGAAACTGGACTGAAACAGCTCTCTCCATTCATAAAACTCACTCTGCCACAGCCTGCATTCGATTGATTCTTGCTTTTGTTTGAAGCAATTTTAGAACTTTTCAAACAGTGTCAGCAGGCAGTGGTAAGAGATATTCAGCCCTATGATTGGTGTAAACAGGTAGGTTTGCTATCCCCATCTAAAGCTCAAATGTTTAGATGGTTATATGACATTGCTTGATGATTTAGAAAATATATTTTTATGATTTTGGTGAATTGTTTATATGTTCCTGTTGCCTTTGTATTAAAATTCATTAACAGTTGCAGAGTTTTGTTTTCTCTGGGGATTTGGTGCAGATACCTTTATCACAAGTGGCTCTTAAAAAGGGACAGTGCGACACATAGTCAGTACATTTCTTTTAAATGCAACAGGGAACTTATATTTAAATTATGTGCAGCTATGGCAGAAAAGTTTTTTGTCCATCTTATTTTTTGTGCCACATATTCATTTGAATTTCTAGAATACATTTTGCCCTCTGACTCCTGACACAGTCCAGACAACTGCATGGCAGAATCATCAAATATTTGTCTTTGTCTTGTGTTTTTCTATACTGTTAGGACTGATAACATAATAAAAGTACCATTAAAACTCAGGAGCCTTCCTATTTGACATGAGCACTGATACAGTTCTTCCTCTTTGTGACTCACTGGTGGCCACATCCAAGCCTGCTGCTGCTCCCTCTTCTCCCAGTTGTGGATTTATAGTCATGCTCCCAGAAGTTTGTCACAAACATGTGCTTAAGAGGCGATGAGTGACGCCACAATGCTGGCTCTATCACAGTTGGTGTGGTAGCTGATGTTTATCATCCTGCTTTCTTTAAATCAGTTGTCAGGTGCTTTTATTCTGGACTTTTAGTGAGATCTTTTTTGGTGGTGAGCAGCAGCTAATGTAAGCCTTATTTGATCAAATAGACCCAAAGCCTAGTATTTGTAAAAACAAAAAAACATTGAATTATGTTTATGGATCCATTATTGTTTGCTGTAATTTCCCTCCCTAAGGCAGACGGTGTTAAATTAGTCATGCTTTAAATGACTTTATACAACAGTTGTGTTACAGGGATTATTAACGTGCACTGTGGTTAACAGGATCAAGCCTTCTTGTTAGGCAGACAGCCATGAATCACTGGGTAAATCCACATCAACCCATTTTCTCCACATTTGGATACCTACAAAAAGATACATCATTTGCAATTTAACTTGTCGGTATAAATCATGAACACCTACATAGAATCTTTTCAATTAAACCCATAGCTTAATATTTACCTGATAATATAATTGATTTTTTGCTGTGTTTGCCTTATGTTGATCATCACCTGGAACTTCTTTTCATTTCTCACTAACCTCACTACATGAGAACCTCTGAAATCCCCAACATGGGAAGTTATGTATATAATCATTTAGAATCGTT